ATTTAATTATCTGCGGATAGTCTTTTTTGAAAAACTCGACTATGGGCTTGGAGTTCATGATGGTGCAATCAACATTGCTTACCAGTTCAGAAATGTTAACTAAAGGGTATGTACACCATGTACATCTATTGGCGATAGATTGAATCGTTATTTCACTCGGGTCGCTCTTCTAAGTGGCTTGAGCTTCGTCGCATATTCTTTGGTGATACAGTACACAGCTCTTAGGTAATGTCGATAAATGATCATCATGTACGTAATATATATCCTCAGGCGCGCACGTTCATGGTAGCAGTATAAATAGAAACAAACCATCAGAATGTCAGCAATTCAAGCCCTGTATTCTGGTCCTCTTTTCGAATATCATATTCCATTGGCATGGCCAAATGAGAGACTCTTATGGAGCTCAAAGGGATGATGTAGCTGAGTACTGGTCAAGACTACGGTGGCTATGATATTCTAAGAAGATGCTGGATATAGTGAGGCAAATCTCGCGCCGCCAGCGTATCTGCTCGCGTGGTCTAGTCGAATATGCCACGTTTGCTTCCTTAACGAACCGGGTTCGATTCCCGCAGGGTGCATTTGAATGACCATTTGTCAGAAAGACGGTTCTCGCTCATGCATCGTGTTCACAACCCGCTTGTTTCCGGTTCGTCTCGCGTATTTTTTCTCGTGGGCCTCGTGTTTTCTGTCATCCCTTGATACCGACCTAAGGCATCACCCGGCGGTACACTAAAGGCGACAAGGCCGTGCACTGACGCGTCGCAGCGTCTCGCGTCGGGCACAAGTGACAGGCCCACAATGGCAGAACATCACAGCTCCGTCAACTACATCCGAGGTCAATAAGTACGACTTTTTTACTAGTTACCACCGACATAGCACCCTTCGAGTAATAATTGAGCAGTTGCAACCGCTGCGGCAGTCGAACGACCGTAATTAACGACGCTCTTCCGCTGGTGAATTTGTGCCGTTCGGGGATGGCATCATGGGGAGAGCATTCGATTGGCTTTGGCCACGCTTGGGAGGGAAAAGGTATCTTCATGTCAGTGATTTGGCAAAAAGGACAATTCTCCCAAACCTTCCAGCCTTGAGAACGTACGCCTTTCCTTTGTTCATCGTATAGGCCACGGGGGAAGCGTGGCCACAGGCAAACAGGTTGCCGTTGTATATACTCGTTCTAGCACCAATTGTCAGCAATTGGCGCAAGATGGGTGTTCGCAACTGACCGCCACTGACCGTGCTCGTGGCCTAGAGAGAATCCCAATACTAGCCGCAATACACTATCCCGATCGGACTTGTAGGAACAGCCGAAGCAGTGCTACGTTTCACTACTTCTCCATATCAGCAAGTCTTCTGGTGGCTAAGGGTGGTACAGACTTGCCGTTGATGTAGTTTGGGATCAGCGAAAGCCAACCAGAGATGTAGCGGGCTCATTTCGATTACATCTGGAGGGCCCAGGATCACTCCGTATCGCTGCAAATGAATGTTGGCAATATCTGCCAATGCATAGCTGTTTCGTCTTTGGTTTTCGTGTGGGAGGTGAATCTTCAGACCTGTCAGGACAATGTTCCGCTGAAGGAGAGGATCATGGGTTTTGGGTTGGAATGAAGTAGTAGCTGACCTGAAAGCGTCTGTTCTCATGGGGAGAGACATGGGATAGATTCACTGCCGCGACCTGGCTTGTCGGTTGCTGAGCTGCAATCAGGGCTTGGTAGAGCCGGCCCTCAGCCTGTGACCTAAAGCCCGATTCATTGCTGGATTATGTTATACCTGGAGAGACCATGATCTTTTTCGGTGGCCGTCGATGCTGGACTTCTCTTCGATGTCGTCGATTGCTGCGATGGCTCACTCAGCCTAGCATGGAACCGGGCTATGGCTGCCGACGAGGCTCCGAATCGGAGGTCGGCAAGAGATTAAAAGCTGTCGGAATATGAAAAAGTTCTTAATAAACTGATAAATGGCCCTCAATCGGAAAGGGTAATGTCGACGAGACGAAAACACCTTGGAGACTTACCGTATGACTAAGCAGATGCGCCAGGCGAGTTGGCCTTTTAACCACGACTTCAGAAACAACAAAGGCGCAAGCGTAGTAAAACTGATGGCTTGGCCCATCAGTTGTTCAAGCTGGTCTAGTTTTGAAGACGAGGAGGGGGATATATCTCTGTCAGGTCGGCCGTAATATTGACATGCGTCCTATGAAGAAGAAGAACAATCAGCGATAATTTCGGAAGAACAAAGAGCCACCAACGGATAGCATTCGTACGGAGATTGAAAAGTAGTACTGGCTGTTGGGAATGGGCAGGGGCAAAGCAATAGCATGACTTACAAGACACCAAGTGACCCGCGATAGAAAGTTTGCCAACCTATATAGAGGGTTGTCAGCACATGACATCTGCTTTGAAATTTGCTGCAAAGTTCGAAACTCACGTTCTCAGATATTGCTGTCCTCTACAGGTGACTGTATGAAGGATGGCAACTATTTCTCAAAATAATCAGTAGGCAGTTCATGAAGACAACTTATAACTCACTGTGCTCGCAGCTTGGGCTATTCGGGATCCAGAAAGGTTCGCTCAATGGGTTATTCGAGGAGAAGCGGAAACGGGGCTGGTATCGAGCATCTTCCGACTTAGCATGATTCTAAATGACTGGGAAACAACACTCACTTGCTGTCTGAAGACTCTATTGATGAGAAAGACTAGGCCATTGCGATATAAAAGGCCAGCTTATTTCACTGCATGATTTGGAGGTCAATCCATACCAGAGTAGCCGCGAAGACGAATCACGATCGACATTCTTTGATTTAAAATCACAAAGGAATGCTTGCGAACGACTCTTCAGCCGGCGAGGGATCGGGTATTTATAATTATCCAGCCAGGCATTCAGTCTGCGTCAATGAGATCACCATTGTGAATTGTGAGGGCTTAAACACAAACTACTCTTAAATTGCAGCCAGTTCAACGTTTGGTTATTCATCTGGCACAACATTCGAACACAAAATTCGGAGACATCCACTTTTCCTGGCGACTCGATATATGCAAGTCCTTTTATCACTGTTGGCACAGTTTCAACAGTGGTGAGCATGCCGCAGGAAAGCATCGATGATCCATTTCAACATTCACCACCATGGGCTCGTAAGTTATTGCGATAGGTGAGACGATTACATATCACACCATTCAATCTCACCCACCAATGATGACCACAATACCCTACCCAATGAACACCTCATCAAAGGCAGACAAAAACCGTGCCATATTGCGGCCCTGGATCTCCAGCCAAAGGGGAGGGTTAGTTATTGCCTACCTCGTATATCGGAGAAAAGGAAGCACACCTACACAATATCAAGCAGATGCAAGCTATAGTACGGCGCGGGACTGATTCACACAGCCCCACCTCACAACAGAGTCCCTTGTATAGTGGGTCAGATATTAGGTCGATTAGGTTTTCGTAAACACCCTCTGCGATCACCCGCATCTTTGCAAAGGCATTACCCACTCCAATCTCCTAGGAACAAAGTGGATGGGGGAAAGTGAGTACTACAACAAGGAATTATAAGCCAATTAGTGCTATCAATGGCTCACATGCGCGCAAGTTGACTATGAAATGATTGGTGGATACTCGGCCATGGCTCCCAGGAGCCCGTGGGTCGTAAATATCGATGCGATCATTAGATACTAATAATAGATCGGAGGAAGAATGAGCCAATCAGTGCTATTAATGACCCACGTCTGCCACAAAGCCCCCGTAGAAATGATTGGCCCAAATTTGGCTGTGAGCTCCTGGGAGCCTGAGCCTACCATAGCACCTCCCATAATTGGATAAGGCTGATACAATTATGTCCACAATGTACCCACGTCTTCTCTCCTTTGAACCCGAGACAGAGACGACATTAAGAATTGGCCGTTGAAACTCAGGCGTAGTCTTTGCGAATATATTCAAAATACAAGAACTTTGAGTAGACCAGGTCACAGTATATCGTAATATTCATGGAAGATTCAATCGGAGTATAAGACACACAGCCGGATCGGGTTTCTTACGAGAACCATACTAGAACTTGTGGTTCAGAAAGTTTACTTTACTGTATCAATTACGAATGAAATTGAAATGAGATACTGTAGTTAGTATCTAGAGTTTCTGGTGACAGTGTCTCATGCTCATCAAATAAGATGTTATTTCCTGCGCAAATAGTTCATTCACCATCAGCGTCCGGACCCCTGCTGCTTTTTGGCCTGATCTAGCTCTTCCATCGTCCTATCGTACGCATAGTACAAGGTCCATGAGTAACTGCGCAGACATTCGAGTTCCGAAATGAGAGTTTTCCTATCTTTTTCAAGCAGCGATATCTGCTCCTTGATTTGGCAAAATAAATGATAGAAACGTGCCCTCTCTCGGTACCCTCTTCGATCGTCAGGCAAAGCTATTCAGACTTAGTAAGAATGTCGTGATGATGCACAGTGGACTCACTATAGTGCCCGGAATGACGATCAGAAACGGGTGCTGTGGATGAGGCTTTTCTAATTGTGGTTATTTCGCAGGATTCCTTTGCAGCTCAACTCTACTCAGTTGTCAAATGGGTTATAATTGCCACGGATTCGAATGTACCTTGAGTATTCATACTTTGGTTGACGAATTGCTGGGCATTGTGGTTCGGCGTGCTTCTATAACTTGCTCCCAGGATCAAGTTTTGTCTTGTGACGGCGTAAAGGCGATCGAAGAGCTAAACTAGGCCAGAAAGTAGCAACGATATGAACGCTGATGGTGAGAAAACTACTTTTTGTGCAGAAGAAAAAGCCCTGTTTGTGGCCATAGGGCGCTTGTACCAGAAACTTCCCCCGTAGCTACTACGGTGCAAGTCTATCTTGGATCACAAGTTCTGACAACCTTGAACATCAGAAAATGCTCTTTTCAGCTATTTGCACTTCTAAAATTCAGAGACCAAAAATGACAGGGGTAGCTTCAAATCCCACCCTACTGCACAAGAAAACCAATCAGTATCCCCTCTCTCCTCAGAGTATTCGCAATTTCTTAAATATCCATGCGCGTTTTGCACCCCTCATGGTTGCCCCATTCTCTTTGAGGTATGACCTGGTAGCTTCTAGATCCTTGCATTCAGTGCTGCCGGCATATTCCAACCAGGTAAGGGGTGACCTGTACATGTCATCGAGAGAGTTGATCTTAGCTCTTTTCTTCAGCAAAGCTTTGGCGGCTCTAAGAGAGCCATACTCTGCGGCCCAAGAGAGTGGTGTGCGCTTGTTCTGGTCAAGATCATCAACCGGAGTACCGAGGTCCAGCAGCCTTTCAAGAAGCGTGACGCAATCTCCCATCGCAGCGAAATGAGCGAGGGACCTCTTATACGGGCCTCTGGGGTTATATATGCCCCTTAATTGGATCTTGCTGTGTGTTTCATCAAGGTAAATACTGATGTCATTGTTTAATTTGTTCTCCGAAAGCCTTTTCATGAGCTCGAATTCCTTGTCAATAATCTCCATGGTAATGTGGGAAGACATGTGATTTGTTTCAAGTTTTAAAGGAGTCGGTACTGACGGCAAGAATGATACTGTACAGTATGCTAGACGGCGCTGAAGCTAAGATCAATCATCTATATGTCTTAATTTTATGTCTTAATATGATTGGTACCCAGATTCTGATGTTAACATTCGTCATCACCTTTTTGCACTTCTGTGCCTGTCAATAAACCTCAATCAACCTTCTTCCTTTCTAAAATGGTGCCTGATTCTGGGATGTTGAAATGCCTCTCTAATCAAAGACCTGAGTTTCACGACTTATTTGCAGCAGGTCTTTATCAACGACAAAAAGCTTGTCCCCCGACAATCCATTCAAAAACCAAAGCTTTCGGAGGCCGGAATAATAGTAGAAATGTCAAATTGACCAACGTGGAAGAACATCGCCTACGAAAGACGAGTCTCTCTTAATTGATCTTCGGGGGATAGTCATTTTTTATAGAAGGAGAGAGACATCCCCAGTACTGTAGATGTCTAACTGAAAATTCAGATTATTTTCAGAGGAAATGGCATATGGGTAGACAATTTTGAGCTAAACATAAGGGATACCTTGCAGCAATTAAGTTGACATCGCTCGGCTTCGCCCATAAAACCCAATCACTGCATAGGTGGTTGAAATGCCGAAGAGAGGCTTTACGTTGTGGTGTTGACGTGCGAGGTCACTAAAAAAACTTCAAGCTGATTCAATTCCATGTGTCAGGGTCTGCAGCTCATGTCGAATTCTGCGAGGGCGGCACCAAATTTTCCTTGACTTTCTGGAATTATTTTCCGACATTCCGGAGCTCTTTTCTTTGTAAATCATCCGGTCGTCTGATCTCTTGCCAGAGTTTATTGGCGGCACTTGGGTCGTCGCTCTCTGTCGCCGACTCGTCGGAAATTGCTGCGTCACATTGGGTCCCTGGCTTGTCCTGGATTCTTTGCCTCTGTTGGGAGCGTGCCTTTGTCTGCTCGTTGTCGATCTCTTGCTCCCGAGCATAATTATTCGGCGGTCTGGTGGTGCGTCTCGGTCTCGACAATTGTGGCGGTGAATCTTCGCGTTCGTCGTGTTCGTCGCGGTCGGGCGGTTCAGGGTTCGCGTCGCGGTCCATCCCGCCATTATTCAAAATCGATCCAGACAAGTAACCGATATACCAGCAGCTGAACCATGTAGGCGCTCCGAGAAGGGGAAAGAGCGGTTTACGGTCCCAGTTCTCGATTCACAATACCGGCTGCAGGGAATGGTCTCAAAACCAGTCACTTTACCGTACACCTAGCATCACCAAACACACATGCTATCTAAGCGTCGGTCGCGCCTTAGATATTAGTTTCCACACCGTCTAGTTACACAATTTCTCTTATACATTCCAGTTTTGCGCAAGCCAACAGGGCTTCAAGGCTGCTTGCCATTGCTCAAGCTTGGGCTAGACCCCAAGCTCTAAGACTCTGAAGCCGAGATTAAACACCATTGTGTACAAAATTCTCACAACTGTAATGTGTCGCGGAAATCGACTATACTTAATTTGGCATTTTGAAATTACTTCTCAGGACGCAGACTCGTGGTCGGTGAAAAAAGTCTTCATTTAAATACATAGCAGCCAGGGCTTTAGGCAAAGATGATATCAGTTTTCAGATCCAAACCTATCACTTTTAGAGATAAAAGAAAGTGCCATAAGCCGAGTTTCCTTGGTTTCCATCCACATGACTATAATTAGTCTAGTGTTTTTTCACTGAGCAAAGATAAAATCTGGTAAAGCAACATCAGGGTTTTGAATATAGTAAAGTACCTCTGACTTCCAGTGAGAAAACATTCCATGTGATATAAAGAGGCGCCAATCAATCACGGAAAGAAACAATCCTTCGTTTCTATTTAGCTCCTTATCACTTAGACCCGAGAAGGATGCCCAGCGTCGCGTCGAGTGCCCATAATCCTGAGTGAACTTCCAACCCAGCATGAGAGCTGCGAGAAACATCCGCCGCTGACACTGTAGAGGCTGAAGCTCCTGGGGCACTTGAAAGGGCTTAGTGGGAAACTTTTGCTTAATCGTGAACCGCAAGAGAGCTAGATAGTAAAATGTCGCGATGAGTGTATGATATGTTGCATGAGATCTCCGAAGGATATTTTTCAGATAAACCCGAAACCCCGTTGAAGTTTTGGGGCTATCCTTCGCTAGAGGAGACCAGAGGGTAACGAGAAATCTTTCCGAGAAATCTAACAACGCAATTAGATTAGGATCACGAGTTTCTTGGTACTAGATTACTTACCAATGAGATTTTCGATTGAGACAAGCCGTCTGATTCCTTTGTGCTCGCTCAAATATTGAGCCATGACAATCAAATTCAGGGATAGCGAGAAAGAGAGATAGGCTTTTCGCCTGAATTTTGGGGGACAGGAAATGCAGAATTTCTATCCAGGGCGTTTGTAAGCATAGTTTGAAGTTGCTGGGCATCAACATACTGACCTATCAGTAGCACTCTTCGCATCCAAGCCAAGTGAGCTGGTGCGTCTTTTTGCTTCAATCTCAAAGACGAGTTCAGCTTCATTCGATACCGGAAACAAAAGTATGTTGGCAGAGGCTAAGAGCTAGGTTGACGTATTGATGTATAGATCGCTTCGTCTCTGGATAAATCAGTAGCTGATTATGATATTGTGTTTGCGATCGTATGCGCACAAAGAGTCGGTAAGGATGACAAGGGCTGATATTTTTCGGCCCAAGTATAATTAAAGGATGTCACGATAGTAGCTCTCTTGGGGACTAAAGCTTTATTTCATCTATAAATCCGTAGCTGCCTCTTAACTCGCAATCGTCGGTGGTTGAGGGAAAGACAAGGAAATTGGCCCTCAAATTTTGGTCTGTTGCATACTGCACGGTCAAATTCGTGCTGCTGCCCATGGCTACACCAGTGTTCCTCGGTGATGAACCATCTTGGGTCTTTTTCTAATGCGGCCGCATCTTTTTCATGTTGATCAACAGCTCTGCCCCAACATTTAAAGATCAACAGTTACCTGTACGAAGGTTAGCCAGATTTTGTCTCAGAGGAATGGTACCTAGCTAAAGGTTGGCGGTGAACGTTGAAACGCGTGATCGAAGCTTTTCTGCGGCATTCGCACGACTGCTCATATGGTGCCAACGGTGGCAAAAGCTTTATCATATACTGTGTCACCAGAAAAATTTGTTATGAACGATGATAATTGATCAATCGTGATGAATATCTGACACCCATCATCCTATAGATGAATCGGTAGGTGCACTTGTCCACCAATATACTTTTATATCATGTTTTTGAGATGTTTTATTTTTCCGCTTCCACTAGCATCAATTCCTGTCTGGCATTCTGCTGTTTGCTATTGTGAGGGTTGCTATTCTGAAGCTGTTGGTTTGCATAAAGCATTATATTCCAGAGGCGGTCCTCTTTTCAAACTTGTCCGCACTACGAGATACAAGTAGATTTGTATGCTTAGTCGATGTTCTCTTAGTTGGCAGCGCTTCACAAGAACAAGGGCCTTCTAGGAGACTTGGCCTAGAAACATGGCCCTCTCAGAAGAAATTTCTTGTGCTCATCTGCTCCCCAAGAAGAAACTCTTAGGAGCCAAAGATTCACATGAAGATCCTGGTTGTACCGCGCACCGCCGGGCAAATTGGTTCATCAATATCGTGCACGTCCCACAACGCGAGCAGCCATTGAAATCAGCTTTTCCTCCTTCCGTAATCCTTCTGTAGCCGCAATTGCTTTCTCTTCGTGGGCCGAAATCAAGAAGATCGCTTTGGTATCATCCGCTGTTGCTGCGCGGTAGCAATGGGCCGGACGAAGGCTCTTGAGGTTCACATCGTAGAGTGTAAATCCTTTGCAGGAGTACTTTCGTGCGAGCCGCTCCATGGGTGAGGGATCCAACCGGTCTACGAGAAGACAGTCTGATTGGTTCCACTGACCTCGCTCGAGTGACCAGAACTTGATCTCGATAAGCGGTTGTGTAGACGTTTGACAATTGGGGTCGACAGGTTTTGTTGCGATGTGCCTGGTCTCTTTGTACATTGCTTCCGATTGTTCGTCAGCAGAGATCGATAGTGACAAAGTCTGAGTTTGACCTGATTGAAGCAAATCTCTAGGTGAAGCTTGATTATGATAGAGCAGATTGAGCTCTTCATTGAGCCGGTCGCTCTCCATCCTTTTTTCCAATTCTTCCTGCTCCACTTGGGCCCTCCTCAAGCCATTGAGGAAAGCCTCTAGCTCTTCAGACCTGGAGGGACGGCGTTCTTCTGACAATATTATCGTTTCTGACGAAGATCGTCGCTGTGCTGCAGAATCGATAGGTGTCTGTGCAGTAATTCCGAGGGCAGATCCAGTGTCTGGACTGGGTTCCTCTCCTGTTGCTCGCTCGCCCTGGTCCCATTCGAGTGAGACTGTTTCCAGAGAGATCTGGGTGCATTCACTCTTAAAATCTCCAAGCTCTGGATCAGCCCCGGGCGAGCAGCGAGAAGGGACCATTTCCAGCACTGAATCGCTCAGTGACCATCGGGGAGTAGAGTGATCTCCACCCGATGGACTTCTCTGATCAAAGATTTCCTCATCTTGAGCTGGCTCGAGAGGATCTAAGTCCATAGGCTCGGGTCTATTTTCTGAATGGTCGATCTCACTGGAGAGTACCAGACGTGTTGAAGCGTTGCTTCTTCCGATAAGAGATGACCTGCCTGATGCGCCCTTGTGCCGTGCAGACGTATCAAAGCCCGGTGCATGTTCCTTTTCAACAAACAACGGCGATTCCATCCCCTCTTCAAACCCTTGGTCTGTATTCAAATTGCCGCATCTTCTGTTATTGATGGGATCAACCGTTGGCGACTTCCCCCAAAAGGCGAAAAAGAGACAACGCCGGACAAAAAAAGCTAGTGATTGTATCGGCGGCATCAACATCAGCATGCAGTCGATCTAAGAATAACAAAGGGGCATCTTGAATATGGTTGCGGGTCTGCGGAACCCCAGAGCGAGCGTGCGCCTTGACGGTGCTGTCTGCCAAAAGATCTTGCGGGGACCGGGCTGATTAGGCACAGCCTCAGTAAAACAATCTACAATTCGTCGCACCAGACTATCAAAGTGTTGGTCATCGTATCTAAACCGGCTTGGCTTTCGGGCCTGGAGAAGGGCCGATCGTGCAATCTGGTGATCCGGAGAACTGTTCAGCAGCCCATCAATTTCTGGGGACCTAAAGCCGAGCCGGTGAGCTAGATGGGCCATGTCGAAGATCGCGCGCGGGTCCGGCTTAGCGCAAGTCGGTTTGGCCAACAGATCATCAGAGTTCTTGGGGTCCGGCGGCATCAGTGGATAATGTCGCATAGCATACAGCCATAGTTGCTGGTATCCTGTCTCGAAGCATTCTGTCTCGGACGCATGAAGGCGTCGGAAGGTAGACTCCGAGGTCTGAATAATACACTTCCCTTTCTCTCGGTGATTTTCCCCAGACTCCGAGTCTGGATCAAAGATCGAACTCATGGCTTCCCTCACAGATCGGGGTGATGGACCCAAGAGCCGCTTCAGACAGTGAGCACAACTCTCCAGGTACTTGAAATCCTCAAAGAAAGTGTATAAGGACGGGATGAGACCATCAAAGTCTTTCATCTTGGCCCATATCGCGTTTCGCTCATCAGCACTGAACTCGGCAAACAAATGGCCACTGAGAACCAGCCCGCACGCCGTCTTTTCATCAGTGCGTGATTTACCCGGTGCCAGTAACTGCAGGGCGTGAACCGTATCCTGATCGATTTTCTTCATCAGACGGCGGTGTGATCCGACCAGAGAGGACCAGAAGTCCAAAATGTGGTCCAAATAGGTTGCTATCTCCTGAGAGACGAAGAGTCCTCATTAGCTAGAAAAAAAGCAGTAACCTGAGCTGAAACTCACCTCAATGCAGCCCGAAGCGATCAATCGATGAAGCAGGCTGATTCTCATTCCGCTAGGCCAAAGTCCAGGAATCGTTAGCAGTCGGTCAAATGCATGTCGGAGACGACGATTCTTCTTATTGTCAAGTTGATCCAAGCGCTCTTGATTGTTGGGCGATAGTCTCACGAACCATCGCTCGCGAAAAGCTTCATTGCCCTCGCCCTCATACTGTCTGATCTTGCGATAGACTTCCCCATCGGTCGGCTTCTTCTGATTGGAATATTCATCCACCAACGCCGCTCTCAGTTCTCGGTCGATGTCTTTTGGAACAGTCAGGATCAATCTATGGGAGCGCCCGGGTATATCACGTACCGTCTGTGTAGAGATCAACCGTCCACCAGCGATCCGCCGGAGGAAGTACCTCAACACCCGCTTGTACACGATGGCGGCCATGGAGACCCCGAAGTTGCCCCGCCATAAATTCCAGTCGAGGAATTTGCCGGCCTTCGGTTGTCAGCAAGGCTTCCTGGGGAACATTCGCCTTCTGCAATGCGTCTGCGAGATTATGTCGAGACACGGTCGCTGGAACATGGTTTTGGACATCTAGGCGGCGACAACGATTCTTCCGGAAGATATTTCGTAGCCGGTCCAAATTCTTAGGGTCCAGGTCTCGTGGTAAGGGAGGTTCGAATTGAATCTGGCAGATACTGACTTTAGCTACACCAATGTATTTCATTCGTCGTTCTGCTGCGAGCCGCACTTCTTGTTCGGTAAAGACGTGTCGAGTCATGGTGTCAGGATAAATATGGAGCTCAGGATTGGCTTGGTTTTGTCGGGCGTGAATGTCTTTATAAATACATCTGGACGCCCTCGTTGTGGTGGCTCAACGTTGGCACTGCGTTTCTTTGCCGGTGAAGATCCAACACCCTAGTGTTCCACGAAATACCCATTTAAATCGAGCAAGATTTCCTTTCTGTTTCGTGCTCCTTTTTCGGCTTTCAACTATTAGCCAAATTCTATCCTGCTTCCATGATGCAAAAACTCGGCGAAAAGAGAGTGACAAGAATCCGGGCCGCTCAGGTCGCATTACTCCCCCAGCCGCAAACCCAAACAGAAGTATCACCGGTAACGGACCTCATAGCCGGCCCACAACCTCTCCATCTAGGACCCGCGCCTGGAAAGAGGTCCATCACTTCCTTAACTTCGGAGCACACCGGCAAGAAAAATCGATTGATGCCACAAAGCCCGCCTCGCCAGGAGACTATGCAGTGGCAGAGCATTATCAGTTCGGGCCTGACAGTCCGAGACGAATCTCCTTGGGGTACTTTCAGAAAGTACTACGATTGTGACCTAGCTGGCCCCGTCGCGGTATGCATTCGATCATCTGGAGACCGCGGTGTCTGGGCGGTGCGCCAGTATCCGATTGAGGACGCTGACAAGATACTGCGGATCCTCCGCTCCATGCGCCATGAGAACCTGGCCTCCATTCGGGAGTGTTTCCGCACTCCCGAGCTTCTGTACACACTGGGGGGATTTCGACCCTCTCGTTCTGGATCATATCGTCGCTTGTAAAGCCTTCCCAGACGAGCAGGAGCTGGCAGCCATAATGTCTCAGGTTTGTTCCTGAATTCCTCTCACCTGTCTGCCAGATGGCCAAATGGCTGATTATGTACAGCTCGTTGACGGGCTGTTATATCTCGTGGTGAACAACTTCCATCACACATCTCTGGGCTGTTCTAGCGTCCTTGTGAATTTGAATGGGCGTATCAAAATTGGTAAGTTCATTCCATTTCTACCTTCCCAGTCAATCTCACCTAATCAGGCACGGTAGCACGGATCGATTGCTGTGTGTTCCGGCAAAGAGGTAGAGCCGATGCCAGTGACCTGGCGCCAGTGTCGAGAATTATGATGGAATTGATGCAAAAATATGTCCAAGAAGATAGGGCAGTAGGAATTGATAATCTCGACCGCTGGAGAACCTGCCCGGCTGCGATCGAATTTCTCTGCGCGACGACCTCGGCAGGCTCTTTTGAAGAACTGAAAGAGGTTTGTTTCTCTCGATTTGTTTCCAAACCAGTTTTTCCAAACGGTGCTAATAATATCTAGCAACGACTGTTGACGCAAATTCCATGCCGCCCAGGGAATCTCATCGGACTTGCATGGTTTGCGTTGATCTCCGCTCGCACATTCTACTCATACACGCCAGGGCCCATGAAGAACGATTAAAGCAGAAGTCAAAAGTAATATGACCGATGAAAAAAATTCAATGCATGGTACGGTAATCGACGATCTTTCTGTTCCTCATTGCTCAAGCTTTTGTTCTGTCTACTATTAGATAATACGCGTTTTGATTTTGATAGAAAAGAGTTGTGTTAATTGCGTCAACAATCAAGGTCTAGCCGCTGTTTTTCAGGGTAATGCTTGGCCCCGGTCATTTATAATGACCAAGTAGCTCATTTGAATTGGTTGACCAGGGAGATTCAGAGATCAAATCGGCAAGTTTGTCTGTCGTAATCGCATTTCAATTGCCCAAACATCACATTTTTACTACTTTAAGTGCGCAGAAGGCAACTCCAACTAGCATCATATGCTCGGGACTACTCATTGCGTTTGCTCCATGCGAACTCCCTATCATTGAATTACTCCGGCTGGTATTCCAGCTCCGAAAGCCTCACACCATGATGCAAAAAGCCCTTGATGGTTTTTCGGATCTGGTCTCTATACCTGCCTGCCGCTGAAACTAGAGATAATTTAGTATACGATAGAATAGAGACAGGCTGCGGTTGGGTCACTCACCCATCACCAAGGTCCGGCCTTGCTCATCGCGAATGTTCGGTAGCCTCTCGATTTGGTCTCCCGATGCCTCGAGCGAGACTATTTTGTCATAATCGGGTACACCTTGGTAAAAGCAGGCTCTTTCATGTTTTCCTATTGGCGTCTTATCATGAGCAAGCCCTTTTTCGACGTAGATTGAAATGCTGAGAATCTGTAGACGTTTTACCGTCAATAATCAACAAAGTTTCCATTTAGAAGCCAGTGACTTACATAGCCTTTATCTATGATATCGTCCTCCAGGAGGGGGTTCAGCAGGTCCTCGGCTGCGCTAACCATTTCTAATTTGTTAGTGCTGGTGCTGTCGGACTGAAAGCGGAAGGGTCTTCTCTCCAATTGATTCTATCTGCCATACCAAATGCAGCCGACGGACATGAAGTGTGCAGGTATTATATCCATGTATCATCTTCTTCAGATAGGGGATTGTTGCAGCGATCCCGAAACCACTCGCAATCAGTAGCACGGTTTCAAACCCGTCAACAATCTCACTAGTACCGTGTGGACCTGTAAACATGGCCAGAAATGGTACAGGACAGCCAGGAGCGCCAGCGGCAAGACTCAGTAGGTCTGATGTCATGCCACCGCGGGCCTGCACAAATAGCTCAATCGTGTCATGTCTTCCGCGCGACCAGGATGTAACTATGAAAGGGTGTGTTTGAAGCCACGACCAAGGTCCAACTGACGGCATCCACAGATTGATATACTGGCCCGCATCGATCTTGATAGGTCTGGGCAGAGCCAGACGAATGTGGGCCGCTTTTCTTAGCCTAGGATGTGTCAGAGATCCTTCTGGGGTGAAGGATACAAAGGCCCGAGGAGCACCCTGGCCCGAAAATAGCCCGTTCGTGTAACATAAGTTGACAACCTCCAGGATTGTAGTCAGGGCCAAAATTACCAGCGGCACGTAAAGGTACAAACTTGGCAAGTGACTCTAGTCTGGAAGATGTTGCCACGTGCCATATAAAAAGAGAGCAGTCAGGGCTTGGTGGCTTCGGAGGAAGACTTCATAGCACCGTCGACGAAGCCAAGGGAGCGAGGTGAGGGCAAGTGTGGCCAAGGAAATTGACCCCTATCAGCGTTAGTCCTGAATACATGACAGCGAGAAGGAAGCTTAGGGTAAATATGTTACATATTGCCCCAAGAGGAAAACTAAATCCCCGGCTCTGGCATTCTGCAACCACGTGAAAAGAAAGCAGAGCAACAGACATCCAACCTGTTGCCTGGTGAATCTTACAGCACGTGTGCCAGGTGATACCCAGAAGGTCAGCCAAGTACCCAAGGTGAGTGGCCGAGAGGGGAAAAATAAGGTTGATGAGAGCCAGCTCTCCGGCTCTCCGGCCAGCTTGGGCGACGGAGTGTGTATGGAAGAATACCACCATGATATTAACCACAGTGTAGGTAAAATAGATGAGAACATTCAACCGGGACCAGGGCCCCAAATACGATGCCTGTGGACGAGAGCAGGAAGTGTGAGGTGCCGAGAGATCAGAACAGAGCAGGACTCGATGCAACCAATCATCGTAGTTCGGGTCTGGATGAGGAAAAGAGCTAAAAAGCAGCCTCCCGCAGCGATTGCATAAATCGATGACACATTCATCCTTAGTGGGAGCTCCATTTACAATGGAACTTGGAGGACGGCATATGAGGGGAGGACGGACCTCTTTAAATGAAAGCCATTAATTACGACATCGTCATGTCCCTATTAGCGACATCTTGCAGTGGAGGCGGAAGCATCAGGAACAAGAAGCAGAATGCTTCAGAGAGCCTCGACTAAGTATTTTCGGTCTCAAATTTCCCAGCTTCTGCAGACATCAAAATGAATGAGCTGCCGTTGAGTGTACTGGGAAGACACTGTGTCAGATAATGAAGGCTTTTCAAGACTCACAAATACATCCCTTCTCGCTCTGAATCAACAAATCAGAATCGTCAAGAGAATAATGGAGTGGAACAGCCATAAAAATGAGGTTATTCCTTCCTCCCGTTTGATATATTGTGGGCTTTTTGGCGATTCTCGGCGATTCTGAGCGCGCAATTTATCTCCCATAAGGAGAGGTCCATTCCTAGCTAGCACCGAAGGTGCTGCACGGAAGCATTGAGAGACCTATATGTAACAAGCAGCCTGAATAGAGCGATAAATTAAAAAGGTGAGTGCAGTTAATCAACGAATGTACGAAGAGACTCCGCATTGTGTGTGCTCAAGGGGAGATAGGGGTTCGGCTTAGCACTTCTAAACGTGCGAGTTGAGCGGCAAAATTCATACCCCTTACTCCATAATCATATTTGATGCATTTTACTGGCTACATTAACACTTGTGGATGTATTGCATGGCTCTAGACTGAAAAGTTGCAGTCTGCATCTACGTTTCTGGTCTCGGCGTAGACAAGAGTGTGGATTTCGCGTCTAACTTCATAAGAGTACCGCTCATGGCTCAGTATTGATGAGAGAAAATAATATGGTAGCATACGAACAGAAAGATGAATTTCTCTTGCTCTTTTACGTCATTGCTCTTGAAAAAACTCTTCGCGATTGTTTTGCCATAGGAACGGGCTCGGGGCTCAAGGAAGCGTGACTTGAATCTTGGGAGTAGGATGAGAAGTACTGTATGCAGAAATAAATTATCCTGTGGCTCCTCGGTCAAGAGATAAGTACCCAGTGTGCAATCAATTCTATGACCATCGTAACCCATCAGACTCCCGACTGACGTACACCCGCAAAGGACGCCTGCGAAATGACCCCCAACAGATATGTGTCATCCACGGCCCTCGCTTCTGATCTCCGTTCCAGGCGCTATCGTGAGTCTGCTGTGGACAATCAAAATATTCATACTAATTATGAGTAGCTTTTCTTGCAACTCCAAGGGGACACCAAGCAAGAACACGTATCTATCGTTTATTTTGCCAAATTGAGGAGCGGGTATCGCTACTTGAAAATACTCAACAGAATCTTATTTCCGAACTC